GACTTTCATAGTGACCTTCCACTCTTCTGCCCTGTCCTTATCTTCCAAGTTGTCACTCTGCCTCAGATTTCATACCTGTTCTTCCCACTGCCACCAAGCCAGCTTCTAAATAGCCAGTCCTGGCTACAGTCTGCCTCTTCTGTGGTGCCACCCTGGGCCACAAGGCTGTGACAGCCAGCCTCCATTCACCAATCTGGTCATTTCATTCCAGTCACACTCCCAGCTCCATCTCGGCTTAAACCTGCCCGACTTCCCTATTGCTATGGGCTGATCTCCCCAATGCCCTGCAGTGGCCTTTGTCAGGAGTGGATTCAGTAAGGACCCATCTCCTGAAGTAGACACCTGGAGACCTTAATCACACTTCACTGGTCTCCCCTGTGCTCTGTGCAGCTAATACCCACTAGCTTGCTTGCCAACTACTCTGCCAGAACACCCTTCTCTCCATTTTGTGCTCTGCCACTAAGTGTGGCCATCGGTGCCTTCACCCTCCTTCACCCAAGCGAAGGACCCCAGGTCGGGCCTAGAGGGCTGAGCAGAGCAGGCTGTAAGTAGTTTGGCTGACCTAAATGAACAAATAAAAACAGTAGCCTTGACAACCCCATCAGGACTCTGATTACTCACAGCAAACAATGGGCTATTTACTCAGCTGGCCTGAAACTCTTAATCAAGGAAAAAAATTGGTGTGTATGGCAGTCCTTGGGCTTGAACTTGGGGCCTGTGTGCTGTCCCTGAGTTTTTGTGTCAAGGCCAGAGATCTGCTGCTTGAGCCACAGCTACACTTCCAGCTTTTGGGTGGCTAACTGCAAATAAGAATTTCATGCTCAGGCTGGCTTTGAAATGAGAGCCTCAGACCTCAGCCTCCCGAGTAGGATTACAAGCATGAGCCATGTATGCTTGCCAAGAAGGAAATTCTTAATCACCTCACCCCAAAGTGAAAGGATATGTAGAGCTGGGGGAGGGAGGCATAGTTCCCAGTTAGCCGGGGAACCTGTCCTGAAGGTCACCCACCTCCCATTGCTTTGGGCCAAAAGTTGCTGCTATAAACCCAGACTGTAGTATAGCATCTGCTTAGCATACAGGAAGTCCCAGGATCAGAGGAAAGCAATGCCAACAACCAAAATCCAAAGTAAGACTCCCATTTCCAGCCTGCTTCCATAGGCCCAGTTCTATTAATGTACTGGCACTGTGTGTGTTGGTCTTGGGGCTTGAACTCAGGGCCTGGGTGCTTTCCTTTAGTTTTTTCAGTCAAGGCTGGTGCTCTGTCACTTGAACCACAACTCCTATGTTCAGCTTTTTTGCTAGTTAATTGGAGATGGGTCTCAGATTTGTCTGCCCGGACTGGTTTCAAACCATGGTGCTCAGATTTCAGGCTCCTGAGTAGTTAGGATTACAAGTTTGAGTACATGCTGCTACCCCCTCCTCCCCTTCCTCCTCTTCCATATCCTCCTTACTGTACTTTTTTTTTTTTTTTTCCAGGTAAGGGATAGGTTTATTCATCGTTCTGGCTGGCACCAGGCCATGTTGGCCCTCTGCATGGCTGGGAAAGAGAGAGAAAAGAGCTAGAAAAGAGAGCGTCTGGGAAAGGTGGGAAAGAGAGAGCTAGGAAAGAAAAGGGAGCTGGGAAAGAGAAGAGAAGGAAAGAGCTGAGAAAGAGCTAGAAAAGAGCAGAGAGAGAGAGAGAGAGAGAGAGAGAGAGAGAGAGAGAGAGAGAGAGAGAGCTTACTGTACTTCTTAAATCACTACCAGAACCCATTTAGCAAATTCATTTTAATATACATATACAAAATGACAAGTATAAGATTCACAGCATTTACAGAAATCATTTAAAATACCATTGTAAATATATATATTTTTTTACAAAAAACTTCATTTAACGAAAATACGTATCTGGCAGAGCCTACTTCAACCGGGAAAGTGAACTCACCAGCTCCAAAGTGTAACCTCCAAAGACCTGTCCAGGACAATCCGTCTTGATGCAGCTGAGTCAAAAGCTTACAAAAATCTTCCAAAGTAGCAAGCAGGTCACACACAGTGGTTGTGAATATATACAAAAAAGACTCTTAAATTACAGAACTACTTCAAAATGTTTTCTAGATAGAAATGTCATCAACCATGCATCAAAGTATGTATATGAAAGTTAGGGTTACCCTACCTGCTCCCCCTACCCCCAGCTATACCAAAGTCTTTTGGTTTTAAATTTTGTGTCAGTACTGGGGCTTGAACACAGGGCCTTGTGCTTTTGCTTGGCTTTTTTGCCCAAGGCTAGTATTCTACTACTTGAGCCACAGTTCCTCCCCCGCCTCTCTCTCTTTTGGTGCTGGTCCTGGGACTTGAACTCGGGGCCTGGTGGCTGTCTCTGAGTTTATTTAACGCAAGGCTAATGTTCCACACTAGAGACAGAACTCCACGTCTGGCTTTTGGGTGGTTGGTTGGAGACAAGTGTCGCACAGACTTTCTTGCTCAGGCTGCGTTTGAACTGAGATCCTCAGATCTCAGCCTTCTAAGTAGTTATGATTTCAGGTGTGAGTCAACACTTGGCTTCCCTCCCCCACTCTTGTTTTCTGGGGGTGGCAGACCTGAAGCTTGAACTCAGGGCCTGGGTGCTGTCTTTAAGATTCTTTCCTCAAGGCTAGCACTTTACCATTTGAGCCACAGCTCTATTTTGAGCTTTTTTGGTAGTTAATTAGAGATAAGAGTCTCATGGACTTTCCTGCCTGGGCTGGCTTCAAACCACAATCTTCAAATCTCAGACTCCTGAATAGCTAGGATTGCAGGTATGAGCCACTAGCACCTGGCTATTTTTGTTTTTGTTTTGTTTTGTTTTGTTTTCCCTCCAAAGTCTTTTGCATCCTGAAAATAAGCAGCCTGAGGGAGAAATATCTGCAGATGAAATGAATTGATTAGACTTTGCTAGTGGCTTAACCCACAAGCCCTGTCTGGCCTCCTGGTGTGGAAAACCTATTTACTCACACTTGTGGAAAAATGTCTTCCAAAGGACACTTCTGCTTTTCCTCTCCTAGACAAATAACAGTGACAGCAGCAGGCAACCGGGCCATGCACTGTTCTCTACCTCAAGCAAGGTCGTCCAGTCCTGGCCAACCACCCCTCAGCTTCCCACTGTCGCAAGATGCCAGGGTCACAGCTTCCACATAAGCTTTGCACTGTGAACTAACGTTTGAATTAAACATATCCTTTTTGATTTGATTTGATGCAGGTACTGGGGCTTGAATTTAGGACCTTACATCCTTGCTTAGCTTTTTTTTCTTTTTGCTTAAGTCTTGTGCTCTACCACTCCGGCTACACCTCGCCTCCACTTCTGGCTTTTTTCTGTGATCTAATGAAAACAAACAATGCAGATAATAACATCCCACAAAAGTTCAGGCAAGCAGAAGACCCTCTTTCAGTTTGGAGGCCAGACACCAGACCTGTTATTTCTCTACGATTTTTTTTTCCCTCAAAGAATACTGCTTGTGATTGCTTATTATCAACTGCTATGTTAGGCAAGACCAACATTCAGAAGGTATTTCAGCTGTATTTCCAAAGAGCTGGCAAATTAGAGATAATAAAGAAATGAGTGAAATACATTGCAATGTCCTATCTTCTTTTTTGGTCTAATCAAGAAAAGTGGGGAAGGGGATTGGGGGGAGGGGGACAGAGGGGAATTAAAAATAAGATTCCCAATGAAATTTAATCCATACACAATTCAGGTAGGAGGCTTTTTGTTTTTTCACTGTTTTTCAAATTTACAGAAATTTACCAGCCTAAAAGTAAAGATACTTTAGGCCTTCCATTCTTTACAGAACCAAGATATTTAGTAAGAAGTCCAAAAGTAGGTAGATATTCTGTTTCTTTCTCTCTCTATCTCTCTGTCTCTGTCTGTCTGTCTGTCTCTCTTTGGCTTTTGGAAACAGGGTCTTAACATAGCCCAGGCAAGGCTTTGAACTGGCAACCTTCTCAAGAGCTAGGATTAGGGATGCAGTAGCATGCCCAACTTCAAAGCAGACATACAGATTTTTCAAGAAATCAAAGGATATTCTATTTGTTAGATCATACATTAGTTCTCAAAAAGTCACCTAAAAATCCAAACGGGCTATACATGAAATACTTGATCCAGTGACTTTTTGGTATACTACATAAAACTAACAAACACACACATATAAACAAATCCCAAACATGGCCATTAGGAAGTCTGTGGAGCTGGGTGGGGGCCGGAAGTTAGGGCTCAGCTGGGAAATACATTAGAGCAGGCCATGAAACTTAAAGCATTTCTTCATTGTTCATTGGCAAATACCAAGGAGTTGGAAGCCTTCACTCAAGCTGAATCCTCATTGGAAATGTAACAGGCGCCAAGTGATTCTTCTTTATTTCCTTAAAGCAATTTTCTGAGTTTCAAAACAATACAATGGTTCCAAATGGCTACACACACAAACTCCAGTACAGAACAATCAGGTTAAGTACAGTTTCCAAAATATGTCATTCCATTTTGCTAGTAAAACTGTCCATTATAGAAAAGCAAGTGAAGTTGAGGTTATCTATTCAATGACACACATACACATACACACATGTGTGCACATGTGCACATATACCCCACACCACACACACACACACACACACACACACACACACACAATTCCACACAGCACCTCTTCTGTCTCAACACAGAATTCAAGAACCCACAGAAGCAGTCCTAGGCTTCTGGCCTCAAAGCAATGTCACCTCCCAGCAATACAGTCTCTAAGTAAACATGTAAGGCCCATGAGAAGTTCTAGTTTTGGTCATCTTTGACATCACCTCCTTTAAGATATTTGGATATTTGGAGATAAAGAGGCAGAGGAGAGGAACAGATCAAGAACTAACACATTTGTCTTTTTTTGTGCCGGTCCTTGGGCTGGAACTCAGGGTCTGTCCCTGAGTTTTTTTTGCCCAAAGCTTGTGCTCTACCACTTGAGCCACAACTCCACTTTTGGCTTTTTGGTGGTTAATTGTAAATAAAAGTCTCATAGACTTTCCTGTCTGGGCTGGCTTCGAACTGCAATCTCAGATCTCAGCCTTCTAAGTAGCTAAGCTAACAATGCTTATATATGACATTACAGACTTACTTATTCTCAAGCATGGGGCTGTGAAAGAAGAAAGACCTTTGCAAGAACATCATACAAAACTGAACTATTACCCAGAGGCTGGGGAATGATATCCTCTAGCCAGGGTACCAGGGAGGCAAAAAAAAAAAAAAAAAAAAAGTGAAGTCTATCTCCTCCAGACACAGTAAAAACTACTTCTTCACACTCTCCAGTAGAGATAAGGAAAGGAAGATCATGATCTACTGGATCCTCTTAGCCTGTGTGACCTGATGAGTCCTCCAAGCCTCTTTTACAAAGGCATCTTGGGAGTTGCTGCCATGCCCACAGTGGCTCTGCTACAGCTATGGCTATACTCTACTGGCCCCATTCCTGTGACAAAGTGCTGTAGGTCAACAGGAAGCTGATTGCTTTGCCCCTGGGGTGTCAGTGTCTTTGTAATTTCATTGGCAAGGATGTTAAGACTCTCCTTTGGAAGAGGTGCTTTTAAGACTGCTCCTAACTCCTGCACTTATTTGCCTGTCAAACCTAAAGTCAATGAACTTTTGTATCACAAAATGCTTGTGTGAATGGCAGTCTCTTAGGTTTATGCTTGAGGCATTATCTACACAAGGCATGCAGCAGGCAAGGATCAACAGAGACAGACAAAAAGGCCAAACCAGCCTGTGGTGGCATTTCTTCCCAGGCAGCTGTGCTGCCAGGGGACAGATGCCTCAGTTTCCCCCCCTCACTTGCTGGGGAGGAAGCTTGTAAGATATGACCTGCACTGTTGCTTGGTAAATGTGTGGCCTCAGGTGACACCAGAGCTGCAGCTACAGAAAAGAGAAAAGCTCTTCTAGGGAACGAGTAGAATCATATAAATTCCCCCTAGACCACAGATGAGTCCTTTCAACTCAAAGTCAAATGCAGAAAGAGCAACTGGATTGAGTTGTTCCTTAGGGACCAGAATGGCTCAGGGACCCACAGCAGAGGTACTCCTGTGCCCCAGCATCACATCCTTCTTTCCCCCAGCCCCCAGAGCATGACTCTGGCTCCCAGCTTCCAGAACCTCAGATTGCACCAGGCTCCCAGTGTAACATGACCTCTTCCTGACCGCTTCCCTTCCATGAAGGCAGCTGGGTTTCTGAAGATGGAAGGCAAGGACGATTCCTTCTCCCCTTCATCAGTGTTCCAAAAGAAGTGCTCAGCACTGGGCCCAGGACCTGTCCATGGACTTCAGTCGGAGGAAACGCAGGTACTTCTCTTCTTACAATAGTTCGTGGAGGTGTGCTCCTGCCTGGCTCATTTCTTGAAGGGGGTGAGTTTGTGGAAGGTATGCCAGAAGAGTGAGGGCTTCCTCTTGGGCTCCGCCAGGGCGAAAACCTGCTGTTGTGGGACACTGGTGGGCACAGTGATGTGACGCTGGTGCAGGGGTGGCAGGCTTTGGTGGGGTGGGGCCGCCGGGCATCCATTGTAGCCTAACTCGGGGAGAACATGGACCAGGTCACTCAATAACCCCAAGGGAATAATCTTATCCACATTCACCAAAAGAACATGTTAATAGCTATCCTATGAAAAACTACACTGGGTGAGATACAACATCATCCTGAGACCCGTGGTGGTCCACCTCCTAGGTGTCCTGTGGCTAATGACTGTTACCATGGGACCTTGTGCGACTGCCACCAACAGGGAGGAGCAAGGAGACTGTTAAGTGGGAGGACCTCAAAGTGAGGCAATATATTGGAAAAGATGAAAAAGTAAGTGATATGCCTGGGTGCTGTAGCTCATACTTGTAATCCTAGCTACTCAGGAGGCTGAGATCTGAGGATGGCAGTTCAAAGGCAGCCCCGGCAGGAAAGTCTGTGAGACTCTGATCTCCAATTAACTACCAAAAAGCTGGCTCAAGTGGTAGAGCAGTAGCCTTGAGCAAAAAAGCTCAGAGGCAATTGCCCAGGCCCTGAGGTCAAGCCCCAGGACCAACACAAAATAATCAATTAATAAAGCTATGCCAGAACCAGTTTTAACTGTACAAACTACACAGCTCATGTCCCATACTCTCCAGCACTCAGCATTACTTGTGATGCTGGTAATTAAACACATTTTGCTGGAAATGAAGTTAGTTTTCTCAAGTCCATGTCTGGCACTTGCACTGGAATTTTACCTTGGATACCCTGCCATGGATTTGTTGAAAAATTTTTTGGCTTTATTTATTTTTATGTGCGTGTGCATGTGTGCGTGTGTGTGTGTGTGTGTGTGTGTGTGTGTGCTTGTGTACGTGCACACACACTAGTTCTAGATCTTGAACTGAGGGCCTGAGTGTCCCTTAGGTTTTTCACTCAAGACTGGAGCTCTACCACTTGAGCCATACCTCCACTTCTGGCTTTTTTTTTTTTGGTCCGGTTGTGGGGCCTGAACTCTGGGCCTGGGCGCTGTCCCTCAGCTCTGCAGCTCAAGGCTAGCACTCTACCACTTGAGCCACAGCGCCACTTCCGGCTTTTTTCTTTTTGCTTATGTGGTGCTGAGGAATCGAACCCAGGGCCTCTGGCATGCAAGGCAAGCACTTTACCACTGAGCCACCTTCCCAGCCCCCACTTCTGGCTTTTTGCTAGCTAATTGGAGATAAGAGTCTCACAGACTTTCCTGCCCAGGCTGGCTTCAAACTGATCCTCAGATCTCCTCAGATCTCCTGAGAAGTTTGGATTACATTGGTGAGCCGCCAATGCCTGGCCTCGATTTGTTCAAATTTTCATAGGATTTTGTGGAATTGGGAGTAGATCACTGAACCTTCATAGAGAAGTATTATTATGGAACTTATAAGACTAAGTATTACTCAGGAAACATTTACCAACACAGTTACACCCATAGATATTGAAAAAGAGATAGAGTTGAGCCTCTTTAATTTTAATAGAGAGTTCCCTATTTGTAGGTGTCAGGATTTTTTTAATTTTTCTTCTTCACATAGCCACTTTATGGGTTTTGTATGATTTTTTTTCACATGGTCATTTTTGATTTGTTGATTTAGTTAAAAGTATATTAGCTAGTCACCAGTAACTTACATCTGTAATCTGAACTTCTCAGGAAGCTGAGATCTGGAATTGTGGTTCAAGGCTAGCCTGGGCAGGAAAGTCTTGAAGACTTCACCTTTTTTTTGGGGGGGGGGGGGGTGGGGGTCCGTTGTGGGGCCTGAATTCTGGGCCTGGGTGCTGTCCCTCAGCTAATTAGCTCAAGGCTAGCGCTCTACCACTTGAGCCACAGCACCACTTCCTGGCTTTTTCCGCTTCTGTGGTGCTGAGGAATCGAACCCAGGGCCTCATGCCTGCAAGGCAAGCATTCTACCACTGAGCTAACTTCTCAGACCAGACTTCATCTTTTTTATTACAAAAACTAAACAAAAAAAAATTAATGACAACACACACACACACACACACACACACACAAAACCACAAAACCAAAAACATAGTACTTAGCTTGTCTTTCCATTATTTAGGAATGGAGTTAGCTGCATACTAAGCTACTAGACGCAGACAAGCTAATACATTTGAACAAACTCATATTTACTAATCTGAGTAGAGATTAAGTAGAGATACGAATAAGAGGAAGGTAATGAGGCAAAAATAATCTGTATTTACATCCAGAAAACAGGGGCTATTATCATTAGTAATGAACTCTTCTCTCTCCACTCTTGTAGTCCTGTGCATTATTTTATTGGTCCTTGCCTTTCCATTTCCAGTTATAGAAACCCTGAATGCAACACATTTCACAGGACAAATCCCTCTCCGAGTAGAAAACTCAATCTAAGTAAAGTTGCTAAAAAAATACTACATCGTTTTAGGATCAAATTCTTTTCACTGAAGCTGGGCATAGTGGTTCATGTCTGTAATCCCTGTACTTGGGAGGGTGAAGCAGGAGGGAAGTCCATTTGAGGCCAGTCTGAGCTATACTGTAAGTCCTTGTCTCAGAAAAACAAAATAAAACAAAACAAAAAAAGAGCAAAAAAAAAAAAAAACAACCCCACAATTATGTCGAAAACAAACTTTACAACTTTGGTGGGGGGGAGAGGGGAGCGGGGAAGAGTAGGCGGGGAGGCAGTGGGAGGATGGGAAGGGATGGGAAGGGGAAACAAAGGAGGAGGCTACAATGCTTGATAAGAAATGTACTCATTATCTTGCCCATGTAATTGTAACCCCTCTGTACAGTATTTTCACAAAAAAAAAAACACAAAAGCAACCCCCCCAAAAAACTCATAAAAGAAAAAACAAACCCCCAAAACAAAAACCAACAACAAACAACAGAAAAACAAAAAGCAAAAAAAATTTGAGCTAGATATTTGGTGTCATCTGCACTGTGGAGATATTAGTGTTCATGCACTGGGACTCAGCTATACCTGGGGATCTCCTCTCTGAAAGACCTCTTCTTTTTATGTCACTTACTGCTTGACACGCTGCACCTGGAGCTTGCTCTGTACACAGGCCAGGTGCAGCCAGCTTACTGCTCCTTGCATGCCTTCAAAATGGGTGATAGACCAAGGAAGGTTATCACCCATCAAGAGGCTTGAAAAGTGACGTAATTCCCTAAGGGATTGGAAGAGCAAAGGAGTCTAGCAGAACCAAGGGTCTACAGCTCTCTTGTGCCACTTAAGAAATGTATGCATCCACTTACAAAACTGGATACAAGCCAGTGCCTGTGGCTCACGCCTATAATCCTAGCTGCTCAAGAGGCTGAATCCTAAAAACCGAGGTTCCACAGCAGAAAGATCCATGAGACTCTTTTAATCCCCCCCCCCAAAAAAAAAAATCAGAAGTACAGCAGAGGCTCAAGTAGTGGAATGCTAGCTTTAAGCAAAATAGCTTAGGGACAGCGTTCAGGCCCCAAGGTCAAGCCCCAGGACTAGCACAAAACCAAAACAAACAAAAAACTGGATGCAGACTCTCAGGGTCCACCGGCTTCTCCTCTGCACTCAGAGCTGGTCAGACCAATGGCTTCTCCTCAGCACTCCGAGCTGGTCAGTCCAACAGCCATTAGCCTCCCCCAGGGCATTATTAATGAGCCAAACCTTCTCCAAACCTTACCTTTTGACTTGCCCTGTCCTGCCTTCTGAGCGTTTAACATGGCGAGTTTCCTCTGGTTTTCTGGAATTTCCATTCCTAGATTTAGAAACAAGTATAATCTATATTCAGAATACAGAAAAACATTTTGAAAAGAAATCCCTGCCCACGTGGATGCCAACGTTTTCATCCCTATCTAAAGAACCAGGAGAGAGATGAAGAGACTGAGCAAGGAGAATGAAAGGATTGCCATAAGGAATCTCCAACTTACCTTCTCCATTTTTATTATTATGGTAATGTTTTTGGGTATTGGGATTGAACTCAAAGCCACACACTAACTAGCTAGCTAGTCTACCACTTGAGCCACACCTCCAGCCCTTTTTGTTCTGGTTACTTTTTTTTTTTTTTTGGTTGATTGTGGGGCTTGAACTCTGGGCTTGGGTGCTGTCCCTGTGCTCTTCAGCTCAAGGCCAGTGCTCTACCGCTTGAGCCACAACGCCACTTCCATGGTTTATAGGAGATAAGAGTCTCATGGACTTTCCTGCCTGGGCTGGCTTTGAACCATGATCCTCAGATCTCAGCCTCCTGAGTAGCTAGGATTACAGGTGTGAGCCATTGGCGCCCAGCTTGTTCTGGTTACTTTTGAGGTAGGGTTTTGCTTTATTGCCTGGGCTAATCTAGACTGCAATTTTCCTATTTATGCTTCCCACTGTAGCTAAGAGGACAGGGATGGACCACCATGTCCAAGTTTTCTATTGAGATGGAGTCTCATGTATGTCTTTTTTTGGGAAGGAAGGAGGTTAGAGTGGCTTTGGTTCATAATCCTCCTCATTTCTGCTTCCCAAGTACATGGGATCACAAGTGTGAGCCACAAGTTTGTTTTTGCTGGGACTAGGGCTTGAACTCAGAGCCTGGCCATTGTTCCTTAGTTGTTTTTTTCTTTTGCTCAAGGCTGGCACTTACTTTATCATTTGAGCCACACCTCCACTTCCAGCTTTTTGTTGGGTAACTGGAAATAAGAGACTCACAGACTTTCCTGCCTGGGCTGGCTTCAAAACATGATCCTCAGATCTCAACCTCTTGAGTAGCTAGGATAACAGGCATGAGCCACTGGTGCTCATTTGTCATTCTGTGTCTTTTTAACTGCCATCTGCAACTATCGGGAGAATCCTGGCAGAAGGGTATTGAGTCTAACAATGAGGCAAGCAGCCAATATATGGTACCCACCAGGAGCCGGATATAGAAGACCCTAATATAGAGTAGAAAGAGCTTTAGGAAGAGTTCTGTGCCCTCAGAGGGATCACTATCTGCCTGTGGAGGGTCTTAGAAGAGACTGCTGCTTCTGATGACAGGTTAGCCTAGCAGACTTAGAAATACTGTTAACCGTATCACTGGCCCCTGGGAATCTGTGGGTGAGAACAAAATCCAGGACCAGGCTAAGCTATATATGGACAGTGTGGGACCAACTTATACAGATGGAGGGGATGCGGCTGGCTTGCTCAATACTCTGGATCACGTGACCCTTGAGGTCTGCACTGGTATGTGCTATGGGGACCAGTGTCTCTTATCTACTGCTGAATTTTAATTCAACAGCTCATGCTCACAATTCTAACTTGCTTTGGAGGCTCAGGAGTGTAGTCTTGTCACAAAAGATCACAACCTGAAGGCTATCTTATATCATGGTTTTGATGCACCTGTATTTTGACATGTGCCATCTGTGGTGGTCTGGCTTTGAGCAAGTTTAGAATTTATAATCCCTTTTTCTTTCCCCACACTGGTATTTAGCTCTGAGGGAGTGGGTTGAGGCCCAGCAGGCACAGGGCAGAGGTCAAAAGGCAGAGGTTAATGATCACCCAAAGCTAAGGGCTCCTCACCCATCTCCTGATCTTCTTGTACCCGCTGTCTTTCCTCTGCATAGGCCTGCAGCCACCTGGCCTTGTCTTCTTGTTTTTTGGCACAGAACAGATGGACCTCCTCTGTGGTCCTACTGACGAGCTTAAAGGCATTTCTCACGCTGAGGTTGCAGTCTTTGTCCCGCCCATCTTCCACGTCAATCAGCTCCATCTCATCCATGTCCATGCGGCCCTTGTAGTACAGCATGTCCCTGCGTAGCAGGTCCTTTTTGCAGGCCACCAGCTGGTGGTCAAACAGGAAGAAGGTCCGCTGTTGGCTCTTGCCCTGCTTAGTGATTCTGGTCAGTTCTCCTGAATGAATCAACTCAGAGCTGCGGTCTAGAATATCCAGGCCCTAGACGGATAAAAGTGACATATTTATTTAAGACATTTATTTAGCATGTGTGTGTGTGTGTGTGTGTGTGTGTGTGTGTGTGTGTGTGTGTGTGTATGTGCTAGTACTAGGCTTGGACTCGGGGACTGGGAATTGTACAGTACCTCAGCTTTTTTGCGCAAGGCTGGTGCATTACCACTTAACCTACAGCTCCACTTCTGTATTTTTTTGTGGTTAACTGGAGATAACAGTCTCATGGACTTTTCTCTGAGCTGGCTTAGAAGTATGATCTTAAGATCTCAGCCTCCTGAGGAGCTAGGATTACAGGTGTGAGTCACCTGGCTATAAGTCGGACTTTAGATCTTCCAACTTGGATTCCAGGTGGTGTCAAGGCACTAAGGAGCCTCAGAGACCATCCTTGGATTCCTATTCACCTGAGACCACCAACTTCCTGTCCCCACACTCAGGAGGGCAAGGGCTCAAAGGTTGGCCATCTTAACCTCTTTTGTGATCTACTTGTCCAGGACATGTCTCTCTTTACTTTTTACTCAATGGCAAAATGTTTTAGTACCTCTGTGTGGCCTGAAATATCTTCCTGACCTGAACCTCTAGTGTAACCATACTAAACTAATAGAACCTAGCCAAGATCTGCAAAGCAGCTGAGAAAGATAAACCTTCAAAGCACACAAGACACATCAGAGAGGTTCTAACCTACAGGGACACATTACAAAAGACTCTCATGATTCCCTTTGTTTGTTTGTTTGCTGCCAGTACTGAACTCAGGGCCTGGATGCTTTCCCTTAGCAGTTTCACTCAAAGCTAGCATTTGGGCCACTGCTCCATTTCCAGGCTTTTAGTAGTTAATGAGAGATAAGAGTCTCATGACTTTCTTATCTGGGCTGGCTTCAAATCGCAATCCTCAGATTTCAGCCTCCTAAATAGCTAATACTATAGGTATGAGCCACCAGTGCCAAGCTTTCTCATAACTTTTGAGTCAACCTGAGCAAAAACACAAGACACTGGTCTAAAAAAATAACTTAAGTAGGGTGCTACTGGCACATGACTATAATCTTGCTATTCAAAGTCTGAGCCTAAGATTCTTGATTTAAAGCAAGTCTGAGCAGGAAAGTCTGTGACACACTTTTCTCCAAGTAACTGGCAAAAACTGGAAGTAGAGCTGTGGCTCAAGTGGTAGTGCCAGCCTTGAGAGGTAAAGCTGAGGGACAGGGCCCAGGCTCTGAATTCAAGCCCCACTGCTAGCATGACAACAAAAAAAATCAGTCGGTCAAAATAAGTAACCTAAAGGACTAGGATGTGACTCAAGTAGTTCTACCACTTCAATTTGTGAAGCCATGAGTTTAAAACTAAAGTTCTAACACACAGACAGACAGACAGACAGACAGACAGACACACACACACACACACACACACACACACACACACACACACACACACTTGGATCTACTCCAGTGTTACCTTATGGCACATGATAAGACATTTGATTTCATTTTGTAAAATCTCATTCTCCTCTAATCCCAGCATACACAATATGTTTTAGAGCTTGAATTCAAGAAACAGTTCCATTATTTACTTGCCTGGAGCTATTTTATGCCCTAGATTCTCTGCTTAGAAAATAAAGGAGCCAGATTCTGTCTCTTGAGTCAGCCCAAGCTCTGGAAATCAACAAGGCCATTGAAAATGAGTATTTCTTTCCACCTGTCACTGACATAGTCCACTTCAACTCCAAAATCCCTAATTGTGTGTGTGTGTGTGTGTGTGTGTGTGTGTGTGTGTGTGTGTGTGTGTGTGTGTGTGTTAGTCCTAGAGCTTGAATTTAGGGCCTGGGCACTGTCCTTGAGCTTTTTTGCTGAAGGATAGATACTCTATCATTACAGCTACAGCGCTACTTCCTGTCTTTTGCTGGTTAATTGGAGATAAATGTCTCATAGACTTTCCTGCCTAGGCTAGCTTCAAACTCTGATCTTCAGATCTCAGCCTCCTGAGTAGCTAGGATTGCAGGTGTGAGCCACTGGCACCTAGTTAAAAAAAACATTGGTGTGATATTAGGGCCTGGGGACTTGTCTCTGAGCATTTTTATTCAAGACTAGTGCTCTAGTACTTGAACCACAGTTCCACTTCTGACTTTTTTTTGGTGTGTGGGGGGGAGGGATTACTGGAGATAAGAATCTCACAGACTTTCTGCTTTCTTGGCTAGTTGGCTTCAAACCATGATCCTCAAATCCTAACTTCTTTCTCCAAACCTCCTCAGTTCTTAGAAGTTAGTTCTGACCACTTACTGGATGTAGGGCAGGTCTTATTTGATCCAAGAACTATGAGAACTCACATCTGTAACTCTAGCTACTCAGGAAGCTGAGATCTAAGGATCATGGTTAGAAGCCAGCCCAGGCAGAAACGTCTGTGAGATCCTTATTGCCAGTTAACTAGCAAAAAGCCAGAAGTAGAGCTGCGGCTCAAGTGGTAGAGCACTAGCCTTGAGTGAAAAAGCTAAGGGACAGTAACCAGGCCCTGAGTTCAAGATCCAATGTCAGCACAAACTAATAATAAGAACAAAAATCTATGTCTGCTTGCTCTTCTCAATATCAGCAGTACTATGCAGAGGAGATCCACACAGGCTTTGACACTGTGCTGCCCAGGGAGGCTGAGCTCCATCCAGCTTGCTCACTTTCTAGCTATGTGGCTCTGGCTTTTTGCTGCACTTTTCCATCTGTGAAATGGGAATAATATAGTTCCCACCTTGTTGATATCTTCGATGACTTCACAAATGTAACTGTCAGACTGGTGCTTGACATGTGGTACATACAATACAGGCACTAGTTGTTACATACCCATGCATGTACAAATAAGTAATATGATTACTGCTATGATTACTGTGTATTTGTACTGGATTATGTAATACTCTGTAGGTAGCCTCTTGAGGCAAATATCACTCTCCTCTACACAGATCACACTGTAGCAGTAACACTCTATTAATATGTGGGGTGATCACCCATTCAGTATCTCTTTGATTGTGTAGGGGACCATGGAAAGGGAAAGCTGGCTTTCCATGTCAGAAAAGCCAGGAGCTAAGCAATCCATTGACACCAATACTCTTCAGATTTTATTTCTTTGAGGGGTGGGGTATAAAGTAGTTAATTGTTTAATTCAATCCAATAATATGCTTCAAAATAGATCATTTTTGTGCGGTATGCGCGTGTGTAGTTCTTGGGGCTTGAACTCATGCACTATTCCTGAGTTTTTTTCAAGGCATGCTCTACCACTTAAGCCACAGCTCTACTTTCAGCTTTGCAGGCTGACTTCAAACTGTGATCCTCATATCTCTGCCTGAGTAGCTAGGATTACAGGTATAAGCCATGGTGCCCAGCTTAGAGAGGTCTTTAGTAGCATGTACCACAGAAAATCCAAAATATCAAGTGTCAATAATAATGCTTCTTGTCACCACTAGTCAAGAAGGGATGAAAAAATGTCAACATTGTTGTTGTTAGGGGGGTGTTTAGTTTTTTTTTTTCATTTTTTCCCCTTCTTTTTAAGGTGGGCAAAGTGGGGAGGGGTACAGAAAAGGAGAGAAGGGTTAAAGCACGCAGTTGTACTATTCAGTATACAGCATGTGGAAAATGGCCTATGTAACCCGTGTGCAAGAATGGGAGGGGGAAACTGAGGAAAAAGCTAAAGAAGGGGTGACATTGTCCAAAAACAAACATACTCATTACATGTCCTTGGTACAACAGCTTAATCGCAACAATAAGATTATATATATATATATATATATATATATATATATATATATTTTTTTTTTTTTTTTTAAGTAGAAGACTCCAAAGACAAAATAAATTTTAAAAAAGGGATGGGTAGCACTGTGTGTGTTCATGCATGTGTAAGGATATATGTAAGTGTGCATGTGTGTGTGTGTGTGACTTGTACTCACCTCCCAGCCTACAATGGACAGCTGCCAGCGAGCAATCTTGTCAATGCTTTCCAGTTTGCGTTTGCGTTCATTGATCAGACAGGCCACATGCTTCATGGCCTCGTAGGCTGCCTTGATATTGTTGTAATCACTGCAAAATGCAAAGTTATTTTCAATCACGGGACAAGTGACTCACAAAGGATCCCTGCTGTAAACACACCCATGGCCTAGACATAGGGGCTTTTAAACAATGGTTATTATTTCTCGTGAATAGCTCACAGTCTGCATAGGTTAAGGGAGCTGATGGAATTTAATTCAGAATTCTTTGGAAAAAATGTTATTTTCACTCATTTCTCAGAAATCACAATGAATGAAAGCAAATGTCACAAGAAGGTTTAGTCACAGTGATTACAGATTATTTTTGTTAGTACAAGGAATGGTCTGTATTATTGCTTTGATTCTAACATGACCAGTTTTACCATATAAAGTATGATTAAAGTCATGTCAAAAGCAATTCTTTCCAGTAAGCTTCATCTCTTACCCAGTGCAGGAAGCGCTGTCAAAGGACACAAGCCTCAATGTCTGAAGTGGGGAGTTATATGTGTGCTAATAAGGGATTTGTCTCATTACGCTACCATCAAACCAAACTCATCTGTTCTTTCCAGCAAGTCCTCAATCTCAAAATGGATCAATGACTTGAATGTAAAATCTGAAGCTCTGAAGTTATTAATATGAGTACAGGGAATATACTTCAACATATTTGTCCAGACAAGGACTCTCTGAATTGGACTCTAACAGTTCAGGAAAAGCAAAAATTGACAAATGGAATCATATTGAATTAAGAGACTTTTACATAGCAAAAGAAACAATATACAAAATGATCAGACAGCCTACAACAATGAGAAAAAAAACTTGGATCCTTTGATAGGAGATTAATGTCCAGAATATAAAGAAAATCAGAAAAAAAGTAAGCACCAACAAATAATCCAATCAATAAAAGCACAAATGTTCTGAACACTTTCCAAATGAAGTTGCACAAAGGACCAGTGACTACAAAGGAACATTAGTATTACATTTGTTAAGTTATAATAAATAATAGCACAATCGCATGGTGCATGCTCACCTGTGCTCCTGCGTGGTGTACTTGAGCAGCTCGGCCAGCTGCAGGGGATATTTGCAGATCTTCTGCACAGGTGTGAGGAGGAAGCCATCCAGGGCAATGTCAATCATCTGCTGGAGCAGACGGCAGGCCTCAAAGAAGTGCCGGTACTTGCCCTGCTTCATGAGGTTAGAAAGCTCTACACAGGCGCCCGGATGGTTGTTACAGTATTCAGAGTAGATGGCGAAGCCCTCTTGCTGGAAGAAAAAGCAGCCTAGTCAGGTGGAGGGTACACAGCTGGAACAAAGGGAGATATATTACAGCAAGGATAGGCCGTGATCCTGAATGTCTCTTGGGTGACAGGAAATGCCTGCCCTGTCCCTAGGGGAGAGGATTGGGTTCTCTGTAAGCATGAGGTCGATAGCTGAAGCTCGAGTGAAAACGAAGGCATAGCTTTGAGGCCCAACTTTCTGACCTGCTCCTTTTTCTTTCTTCTTTCCACTGACAAACCCTGATCAGGAAGTGCCACAGGCTGCACTCCCTTCTTCCTACTGTCTCCTGCCTAACCCTCTAGGCTTGGCCTACTTAATTTGAAAGGCTTTTGCCCACTTTGCCTGGACTTCTTTGGGTTTTTTGTTTTGTTTAATTTTTTGTTGTTGTTGCCTATACTGAGATTTGAACTCTGGATCAGAGTACTCTCTCTTAGCTGGCATTCTACCACTTGAGCCACAAACACCTCCACTTCTAGTTTTTGCTGGTTAATTGGAGAACAGAGGCTCACAGATTTTCTTGCCCAGGCTGATTTGCAACCATGATCCTCAGATCTCAAGTTTCCTGAGTAGCTGGGATTACAACCATGAGCCACCAGGCCCGGCTTGGATTTCTTATTTAGAGGTGCCACCATGATGCTATCCTCGGTGTATCATCAGTTTTGGAGCTGACTTCCTTCTTCTTCCCCTCCAAGGGCAGGTATCTCTGGCATTCAAGGCCCTGTCCCTGGGCACTGTCCCTGACCATGGCCTTCCCCAACACTGCACCACAGGGCTCTCCAGAGCTGCCTTTCCATCCTGCCCTGCCCTATTTCATCCACTCCATAGGCCTGCTTGTGGACAAACACAGCATGTCTAAAGCCAAGCCCTTATCTTCCCCAGAAAACAGATTTTCCTAACCCACACTTTCTTTCTCTGAGACTCAAAATCCTGCAGGCACTTTTGACCACAGTCCTTTCTTTGTTGTTTACAACCAGTCTTTCTGGACTTTGCTCAAAAATACCCAACACAACAAATCCTTGTTGCCTATCCACTGAGCCTTTGCCTCATAGGGCCCAGCTCCTGCTTTCTACTGTGGCCTTTCTCAATCTGCTGTCTGACAGGAACCCACTTCTCTGCCTAGGCAGGTCTTCTATAGGGTCCCAGAAATGTCCCTGTCACCTAGAGTGACATCTCCCCCTTGACTTCTCACCAAACATTGTTCTTAGGGACTTAAAACTCTTCCCAAACAGTAGCCCCAGCTCTGCTGCCTCTACAAAGTCACTAAGTCCAGCACCTAGAAAGTAAAGGGCATGGGCTGTCATGGTTACTATCATTATACTTGATCCTCAGGCTTTGGACTGGAAATTACATTTTCCTTTTTAGATGACTGTTGGTAGTGAGGCACTGGTGGCTTGGGCTTGTAGTATTAGCTATTCAAGAGGCTGAGATCTGAGGATTACAGTTTGAGGTCAGCCCAGGCAGGAGAGTTTGTAAGACTGTGGCTCAAGCGATAAAGTATCAACCTTGAGGATAAAAGCTAAGAGTCAGTGCCCAGACCTTGAGTTCAAGCCCCAATAGTGGCATCAAAACAAAAGTCTGCTTAGTATTCCACAGTGACAGTGAATCACTAGTGAGTGATGTCTCCACCAGACATGCCACCATCACAGGAAAGCTCCAAATAGCTGTAGTATTACAGTCACTGTATAGGCTATATTTTCCTCATCTGTGCAGTAGGGAAGACAATCATTGGCAGAGCCAAAAGAAGGCATCTCAAAACTCTTGTTTCACCAGGTTCTGGTACCAAATATCTATAATCCTAGCTACTCAGGAGGCTGAGATCTGAGGTTTCTGGTTTGAAGCCAGTCCAGGCAGAAAAAAATCCAACAGACTACTATTTCCAGTTAGCCAGTAAAAAGGCAGAAGTGGAAGTGCAGCTCAAGTGGTAGAAGACCAGCGTTGAGTGGAGAAGCCAGGTGAAAGTGTGCACGCTTGCGCTCCCCCCCCCAAAGACACACTGTTTACAATGGAAACATTTCAAAATGAAGATGGGAGTGGATAATCTCAATTGGAGAGCAATGGTGACGTACGTGCTGGAGAAAGCAGGACCCAATCTCGCTCAAGTGGGGCTCTTCTTTGTTGTACTGTTTCTCAAGGTCTTTCAGAAATTTTCTTTGGAATTTGTAGATGTCTTCAATGTTTCCAAAAATCGTGGCTAGCTGTGCAACCGTGAACATTCCTGTGTGCTTGCGACATTGTCGAATATAGCCCTACAAAACACAAAAGCAAACTTTTAAATGGAGGCAAAAATTATTTTTTGAATAATACAGGCTTTTCGTTTTTTCTTTTGTTTGAGTTCTTGGAATAGTTTTATTTATTTTTTGTATGCTGGTATTGATGCTTGAACTCAAGGCTTGGGCTATAGGCATGAGCCAGCAGAGTCTAGCTTAGAATGAATTTTAATTAGAGAACATTATTTTTACCTCCATAAGTCCCTAAGGAGACCAACCCCTTCCAAGATTACAATTTGCCATAAATATTTTTAAAACAAACCAAAGGGAAAAATTTCATGTGGTTGGATTTTTAAAGTTTCCAGAAAAAGGTTTTCAAACGTCAGAGTTTCAAATGTCAGGGCTTAAAATTTAGTATTGGTATTATTTTTTTTAAACTCCTTTGTGTGTGGGGATGGGGGATAGCGAAGGACAGGTATTATGTGCCAGTATTGGGATTTGAAAGCTGGGCCTCAAGATCTTAATTAGCTTTTTAGCTCACAGCTGGCTCTTTTCTGCTTGAGTCATTCCTCCACTCTGGCTTTTTGCTGGTTAATTTGAGATAAGAGTCTCTCCAATTTGTCCATCTGAGTTGGCTTTGTAATTGGAGATAAGAGTCTCACAGACTTTCCTACCTGGGATGGCTTTGAATTGTGATGCTCAGATCTCAGCCTCCTGCTTGCTAGGATTATAGGCATGGGCTTGGTCAGAGCCTGGCCCGGCCCAAATTCTCAAGATGATCATTTTTCCATCCCAGTTCCATCTCACAGCCAAGAAAACCTGCCAATCTCAGTCCTTGCTGGCTGTGCAATGAATGTGATCCTGCGCATTGTCATTTCTGGCTTACTTACCAAGAATGCCACTGTTACCTGCTTTCTCAAGTCCGCACATCTTTAGCTAGAGGCCAACACTAATTATTTCTCTCTCTGCACTATGATGGGGTGACAAGGGCTTAGGTAGAGTTAGCTATCCATATTTGTAATACCTACTTCTGATAGTATCACCTATTGAAACAGATTAAACTATCCATTTAATAAAACATTTGCTACAGATTCATGGTATAATTGTGTGTGTGTGTGTGTGTGTGTGTGTGTGTGTGTGTGTGTGTGTGTGTGTGTGTGTGTGTGTGTATGCGCTGAGACTTGAACACAGGGCCTGGGTGCTGGCCCTTAGCTGTTTCACTCCAAGCTGGTACTCTACCACTTGGTCCATAGCTCCACTTCTGGCTTTTTGCTGGTTAATTGGAAAGAAGAGTCTCAGAGACTTTCCTGCTTTGGATGGCTCTGAACTACAATCCTCAGCTCTCATCCTCCTGAGTAGCTAAGGATTACACATGTGAGCCACCAGTGTTGTTATAAATTTTAAGAGGAAAATAATACAAGATAAGAGCTCATAGTGTTTGGAAAAAAAAGAGTTCAAAGTGTTTGAGTTTAAAACCCAACCCCACTACTTAATGTGGTGGTGTGTTTCTTCATCCATAACAGCAAGCCCAGTGAAAATGTTGTGAATAGCTGAATTTAGCCAGGTAAAGGGATGGTTACATGGTTAATTTCTTATAATTATAGTCAGTTATTTCAATTTTTCTAAAATGCTACTCTGAAGACTTTTCACTTACCACAAATTTACATAGACTATCTGGAAGTGGAACTGTGGTTCAAGTGGTAGAGTTCTAGCCTTGAACCAAAGAACCTTGAACAAATGAGACTAACATCTGAGGATCACAGTTCAAAGCCAACCTGGGTAGAAAAGTACCCAGGCCCTGAGATCAAGTCAGCAGGACCAACAAAAAAAATGTACATAGCCAGATGCTTGTGGCTCATGACTGTACACCCAGCTACTCAGGAGGCTGAGATCTAAGGATCAAGGTCCGAAAGCCAAACCAGGCAGGAAAGTCTGTGACACTCTTATCATCAATTAACCATCAGAAAACCGGAAGCAGAGCTGTGGCTTCAAATGGTAGAGTACCAGCCTTGAGCACAGAAGCTCAGGGACAGTGTCCAGGCCCTGAGTTCAAGCCCTACAACTAACCAGAAAAAAAAAGTATATAGACTAAAATGTTGGCAGGTTAGACTTGAGTTTCTCTTCGGTGCTGAAGCTGATGATGAAAGACTAGTGCTGAAATCAGCACTCACAGATAGATAACTGGTCACACCAACAAAACAGTTCACCCTGAGACTCAAGACAAGAGCCACAAGCAAAGACCAGCCTGGGGCAAAAACAATCTTCCAGACTGTGAGAAAAAGCAATCTTACCTATCAAACCAAAGTGTCTCTACCTTGTAACCAGTTACCATTTTGTATTGATCCTTCCTGGTACTGTTATATCCTAGAATACATTTGCTTCTTGACTTCAGACTGTCACTCTCAGCTGTGTCAAGGATATAAGTCCTTACCAATGGGATTAAAGAATAGACCCCTGAGCCTGGACAGGAAAGTCTATAAGACACTTATCTCGAATAAATTACCAAAAAGCTGGAAGTGGAGCTGTGGCTCAGGTGGCAGAGAGCTAGCCTTGAGCACAAAAGCCCAGGGACAATGTCCAGGCCCTGAGTTCAAGCTCTAAGGCCAGCATACACACAAAGAAAGTATAGACCCCATCTTGAGTGGCAACTTTTTCACTGACACTTGGAGTGCTTTCTAACTTCCTTGTACCATCCTATCACCCTGGTAACCAATTACGAATAGGATGTGAACCTGACTGCTTGACAAGGAGGAGGGGCAGATTGGCGTTAGGATAAAAATCAAGCAGACTGCCACGCTCAGTGTGCTGACCTAACTCTAGGGAAAATGGCTACGCAAGCACCCTTCTATGCAGAAGTAAATTGCCTTGACAAGATCTCCTTTATTTCTTGTGTCTATTTTTTTCTGACAGCAGGGGTCAAATGTGTTTCCAACACAGACTCATTTTTACTCATGGTCAATTCTCTGAAGCCAGGTTAAGACTACAAAACAAGAGGTTCTGGTAGCGTATATCTGTAATGCCAGCAATAAAGGTGGCACAGGCAGGAAGATCAGAAGCCAAGACAGGCATTAGGCCAAAGTAGAGACCCTATCTGAAATAAACTAAAGCGAAAAGGTCTGGGGCATGGTTCAAGTGGTAGAATGCTCACCTAGCAGGCACAAAGCCTTGAGCTCTACAAAATGATTACAAAATAAAACTTACTATTGAGAAGACTACTAACCTTGAATGTCACCATGTAACAATGCTCAATAGGAAATGCTCACTACCTTGCTCATGTAACTGTGACCCTTCTGTACAGTATCTTTACAATAAAAATATATATTAAAAAAAGAATTTAACCCATTTGAAAAAAAAACAAACCTTTTTTTCCCCTACCATGCCTAAATAGCTCAGAATCTCATCTGGAAGTTAGAGATTACACACTAGGGGACTGGAAAGAGAAAAATCTATGACTATAAATCAAGTGGATTTTTGCTAAAAGAATGCTCCTTTTTGTCAGGTGGGTGCTGCTGGCTCACTCCTATAATCTTAACTACTCAGGAAGCTGAGATCTGAAGATCAAGGTTTAAAGCCAGCCTGGACAGGCAAGTCCATGAAACTCTTATGTCCAATTAACCAGCAGCAAGCTGGAAGTGGAGCTGTGGCTCAGGTGGTACAGCACAAGCCTTGAGCAAAAAAGCTAAAGGTCAGGCCCTGAGTTTAAGCCTCAGTACCAACATGTGATGATGAAGAAATGGAAAGAGCAGAGGGTGTAATCATGTGGCTGTGATTGAGGAACAGCTGTGGACTACACCCCATAGGGCATGGGGGGGGGGGGCGGTGTTTCTTGAGATGTGGCACTCACCTCACAGATGTCTTTCAGGTGCTTGATGTACACCCGCTCAGTGTTCATGATCTCCCGGATGACATTGGTCCGCATCTGCTGCTTGCTCTCAGTGAGCTTGTGACGAGCCTGGTTGGCCTCTTCCTCCTGCTGCTCACCATGGGGACTGTTGGAATTCTCTGGCAGCTCTTCTTGATTGACTCGAAGCTGCAATGTATCACAGGTGACAGGTGACATCATGGGGACCCTGGTGTCTGCTTGACTATGATTAGTTACTTAAGCAAAGACGATTACAGCAGTCGAACTTTAGACAGGACTGGCACGTATTCGGAATGTAAATCAATTGCAAAAGGATTACAGGCTCCTGCCTATAATCCTAGCCACTCTGGAGGCTGACGTCTGAGGATTTTAGTTCAAAGTCAGCCTCAGCAGAGAAATCCATGAGACTCTTGGCTCCAAATAACCAGAAAAAAACTGTGACTCAAGTGGTAGAGCACAGTCTTGAGTGGTAAAGCTTAATGAGAATATGAGGCCCTGAGTTTAAGTCCCAGTACTGACATCAACCAACCGACCAACCAACAACATGGGAACCCTATAAAGCACGAAGGCCACACTTACCCTGACAAAGCTGGCAGGAAACCAGGCTTCCTTATTCTCATTCCGACCCCACCACCAGTCCTTGTTTGAAGCTTCCAAGACCTGGATGACGTCCCCGGCCTTGAAGCCCAGTTCCTGGTCATCCATGGTCACATGATCCCAAAGGGCTTCCGCACAAACCACGCTGCCATCACAGATCAGCTGGATGGGATAGGTAGGTATGCTTAGCACAGAGCATAGGATGGCAAAGGGGGACCTGCTAGTCCTTGTTGGACACACCAGTGGTTATACAAAACTAACTGAGGAAAACATATAGGGAAAAATAGTACCAGCTGAGGTCTAGGATCTGCTCTTCAAGGATACCCTGGTGCCCATGGCTCATACCTATAGTTCTCACTAATCAGGCAGCTGAGATCTATAGATCATTATTCAAAGCCAGCTTGGGCAGGAAAATCTCTGAGATTTTTATGCTCACTTAACCATCACAAATCCAGAAGTAGAGATGTGGCTCAAGTGGTAGAGAATCATCCTCGAGCATGAAAGCTAAAGGACAGTACCCAGGTCCTGAATTCAAGCTCCATTAGCAGCACCAAATAAATAGTACAAGCGAGGTGGCATACACCCATAATCCCAGCACTCAGGAGGCTGAGAAAGAATTGCAACTTCTAGCCTAGCCTAGACTATACATAGCAAGACCCTTGTCTCATAATCCAAAAAAGGAAAAAAAACAAAGAAAAAATATGTACAAATGCTCATCAACTAACAATGGGGTTTATCATAAGAAATGATATAGGTAAAAAATGCATTTAATACACTTGACATACCATTCATCATAGCTTACCTAACCTATCATAAATGTGCTCAGAACAGTCCAATTAATCTATAGTTGAACAAAACTCCCTATATTACAATGCCTACATTACAAAAAAGTATTAAGTGCCTCATGCAATTTACTGATTCCTATACTGAAAATAAAAAAGCAGAATGGTTATTTTGTATTGCTTGCCTGAAGAGAGATCAAAATTCAAACTGTGAAATATGAGTTTGTACCAAATGCATATGTATAATTTTCCTACCATGATGAAATCAAGATAGCTTGAAAAGCATCAGAGTCAAAGACTGTCAGTGTCTGTGTAGGTAGCTTACTTAGCTGTCAACTGGTTATCTAATAAATTTGAATACCTGGAATATTGGTTCTAAAAATGACTTCTGAGCAGACAGACTAGATGTCTCAGCCAGGCTCCCTAATAATATATATAATATTTGTGCTGCACTGCCATGGGACCAAATTTGTGTCTAACTGTATAGATAGTTACTTCAATTAAAAATACCCAAGGTAGGCTGGGAAGGTGGCTCAGTGGTAGAGCGCTTGCCTTGCATGCATGAGGCCCTGGGTTCAATTCCTCAGCACCACATAAGAAAAAAGCCGGAAGGGGCGCTGTGGCTCAAGTGGTAGAGCGCTAGCCTTGAGCTGAAGAGCTCAGGGACAGCGCCCAGGCCCAGAGTTCAGGCCTCAGGACTGGACCCAAAAAAAAAAAAAACCCAAGGTGACTTTGCAGTGAGGAAGTAAAGAACAGATATAGCTTATATACTCATATGGCCAGGAGCAGGTGATTTGGCCCAGTTTCTTTTGTTCCCCTGCAATCTCTCCCAGGCTGGTCATACCTTAGCCAAAATGCCTGAGATGTGTGTTCAGATTTCAGATTTGTTTGGATTCTACAACATTTGCATAGACCAGTGACTGAGTGTTCTTAATCTGAACATGAGAAATCTTAGCTGGGACCAATGGCTCATTCCTGTGCTCTTAGCTACTCAGAGGGCTGAGATCTGAGGATCAGGGTGTGAAATCAGCCCAGATAGAAAAGTTTATGAGATTCATCTACAATTAACCAGCAAAAATCTGGAAGTAGAGAGGTGGCACAAGTCATACAGCACCAGACTTGAGCAAAATGCTAAGAGACCATGCCCAGATCCTGAATCCAAGCGCCAGTACTGGCACTAAAAAAGATCAGATAGCAACAACATCTAAGGTAGCTGTGGACATTAAAATCCAAAGGTCTGCTTTGTGCCACTGTCCTGGGGAATTGTACTACCTCGTTGATGGCCAGCTGCTCCCCTCCTGGCTGTAGATACCGAGGGTTGGCCTGGCAGAGCTCTTCATAGCTGAAGTCCTCCTCACTCCCGTTGTCATCCACTAAGGCAGAGGATTCAGTCCCTCCATCTGAAGAAACTATGAACAGCAACAATAAGGAATGTTTACAAGATTTACTTCTCTAGGTGTAGGCACAGATGCCTCTGAACCCAACACTCCAGATGCTGAGGTAGGATGACAGTAAATTGGACACTTGTCTGGGCTACACAGAGAGATCCTATCTCAAAATCCTTAAATATATACATAAGCCAGGCACTGGTGGCTCCTGCCTGTAAATCCTAGCTACTAAGGAAGGTGAGATATGAGGACTGAGGTTCAAAGCCATCCTAGGCAGACAAAACAGAAAGACTCTTATCTCCAATTAACTAGCCAAAAGCCAAAGTGGAGGTATGGCTCAAGTGGTAGAGAACCAACCTGGAGGAAAAAGATAATCAAGATCTCAAGACCCTGAGTTCAAGCCTCACTACTGGCACAAACAAACAAAAAAGAAATACAGAAAGACCCAGTTAACAAAATTTTCTATGACAAAATGAATGACCTTTGCTATCAAAATCCCCAGGAAAATAGTCAGTTTTATCTTGTATAGACAGTCGCTACTGAGATATTAATGTTGAGGAGTTGATGGTAACGAAGCAGGATTAAGCATGACAGACAGAAATGGAACATTTCTTGGAGTATTATCAACCCAGCACTACTTTTGTGAGTTAAGTCGCAATGGATTACCTGTGATTTAGTGCTCTACAGTGGATATAAAAATACAGATAATAAGCTAGGTGCCAGTGGCTCAAGTCTGTAACCCCAGCTACTCAAGAAATTGAAATCTGAAGATCACAGTTCAAAGCCAGGCCAAGCAGGAAAGTCTATGAGAGTCTCATCTCCAATTAACCACCAAAAAAATCTAGAAGTGGAGCCGTGGCTCAAGTGGTAGAGTGCCAGACTTAAAAGAAAAAGCTAAGGGACAGGGCCAAGACCCTGAGTTCAAGTCCCAATACTCTCATAGAACAAAACAAGCAAAAATAGATATCATTGTTTTCAAGCCATATGTTCAAGACATGCTAGAAGAGGTATGTAGTATGAACTCTTTGCCAGAGTCAGTAGGAGGCTGGGATCAGGAGGATCAGAGTTGCAGACCAGATACAACCAGTAGAAAAGTCCATGAAACTCGATCTTAAAAGAAGAAACTCAGCATGGTGGCATATACCTATCACTCAAAATACAGTAGGAGGCATACAACAGGATTGTTTTCCAGGTGTGTGTTAGGCAAGAAGCAAGACCCTATTTCCAAATAACCAGCACACAAAAAAAGTTAGAAGTGAAGCTCACTGACAGAGCTCGTGCCTAGCAAACATGAGATTCTGAGTACAAACTCCAGTACCACTCTCCTCAAAAAGGAGTAGGAATTAGGGGCTGGGAAGGTGGCTCAGTAGTAGAGCGCTTGCCTTGCATGCTCAAGGCCCTGGGTTCGATTCCTCAGCATCACATAAGCAAAAAGAAAAAAGCCAGAAGTGGAGCTGTGGCTCAAGTAGTAGAGCGCTAGCCTTGAGCTGAAGAGCTAAGGGGACAGCGCCCAGGCCCAGAGTTCAGGTCCCATGACTGGACCCAAAAAAAAAAAATTTTAATTAATAATTTTAATTAATGAATTAATTATTGTGGGAGGGAGGTACCGGTGATCTTAGGGCCTGGGTGCTGTCCCTTAGATTTTGCTCAAAATTGGTGCTCTACAATTTAAACTACAATTTCACTTTCAGCTCCAGTTTTTGGTAGTAATCAGAGATAAGAATCTCATGGACTTTTCTGTCTGGGCTGGCTTTGAACCTTATCTCAGGTATGAGCCACTAGTGCCAGATCTCCCATGCCTAGTTTCTAAGTGAAGTTTCCTGTAGGACTATAAAAAGAAAAACCACTTGTGGTTTCAGGTAGACACTGGGCATCTTGGAAGGCTTCCACCGTAGTAAAGGGGTGCTGCTGGATGAAGTATAGCATGTGGAAAGGGCTGAGGATAGTGGCAGGAGCCACAGGGGACAGCTAGTGAGAAACAAGGCTGTCAAGAGTGAGGATGAGGCCCTGTCCCAAGGAAACAGCAATGGCAAATGGAGTCCAAGGACATTGCACAGATGGCACTCTGGCCAGAAGGATCAAGTCAAGGAGGTTTTAGAACATTTAGGCTCCTGGGAGGAGGGATGAAAGGTTATCACGCTGTGATGGGAAGAAGGGGATGCTGGATGAGATCGCTGGGGTATAGTACTCTGACTGCCCTTTGCCTTTTTCAAGAATTGGTAAATTAACTGCGTGCCTGTGGCTCACATCTGTAATCCTAGCTACTCAGGAGGCTGAGATCTGAGAATCATGGTTCAAAACCAGCTGGGGAGGAAAGTCTGTGAGACTCTTATTCCAATTAATCACCAAAAAGCTAGAAGTGGAGATGTGGCTCAACTGGTAGTGTACTAGCCTTGAGCAAAAATGTTAAAGGATAGCACCCAGGTCCTGAGTACAAGCCCAGGACTGGCACCAAAAAGAAAAACAAAACAAAAACTGTGAAATCTACATTTTTACCAACTGTACTCTTGGTGGACAGGTCTGATAAACCCAAGGTGTATGTTTCATTCCTAGCTCAACTCAACTGAATTGACCATGTTCCAGAAGATCTATAGGTACATCTCATCCAGACCACCCTAGGCCCACTAAGCCTTCTGCCTGCATTGGCTCTCACCTTCATCACTTTAGCCATGCCCTTGTGGGAGACAGGAGTCTGTAAACAGAGCCTCCAATTCTTACTGAGCCAGTGCTGGTGGCTCATGCCTGCTGCTAAGAGGGCTGAGATCTGGGGATCACAGTTCAAAGCCAGCCCAGACAGGAAGTCTATGAGATCCTTGTCTCCAACTAACCACCAAAGAGCCAGAAGTGGAGGAATGGCTTAAGTGGTAGAACACCATCCTGGAGAAAAAAAAAGCTAAGGGACAGTCTAAAGGTCATGAGTTCAAGCCCCAATATTGGCACAAAAATAAATGAATGAATAAATGAATAAATAAATGATAAAATAATAAAATTATCATAACAAAAAAGATTCATAACAAGCAGCATGTCATTTATGGGATTCTTGAGTTCTGTGCCAAGCACAGATAAAACTGTGGTTATAACGAAGAGATCTAGGCAGTAAGCCAGAGCCATGCATGGTATTCTTCCAGCAGACAGACCAGGCCATGGTGGCAACTTGACTAGTCCCACTTTTTCCAGCTGGGCCCTAATCATTCCTGTCAGTCTGTGGTAGTCTCTTTCTCACCAATACCCTGAACCTGAACTCTGACTCTCTGGAGTGCTACACCTAGTCAGGTGTGCTCATGAGTTTCTGTTTTTCATCTGCTTCTTCTGTTCTTCTCTCTTTTCCAGAGCCTTCCTGTGAGCCTAGGAGAAGCTAGCTGTGCTCATGATTACCCTGCTGGGTAATCAACTATATAATGCCCTGAACATTGAGAAGTCATTGAAACCTGGATAAGCTGATGGTGATACAGCTGGATTTGCACTGTTCTATGCACCCAGGTGAAGGCGCTACCCACTTGGGGACAAAGTGAAAGTGAGCTGCCTCAGACATGTGTTAGGGGGACAGGGTGTTCCTGGACTTGAGTTCAATGCCAAGATGTAAGCAAACTGGCCAAGTGGAAAGGGTTGCACAGGTCAAGTGGCAGCAGAGAGCCAGCTGTGTGTGTGTGTGTGTGTGTGTGTGTGTGTGTGTGTGTGTGTGTGTGTTGAGCACCAAATGGGTGACACCACCTACCAGGAGCCCCCCTCTCTCTTTCAGAGAGGCTCTCTTCCTTGGAAAGTGGTGTGTGTGTGTGTGTGTGTGTGTGTGTGTGTGTGTGTTGAGCACCAAATGGGTGACACCACCTACCAGGAGCCCCCCTCTCTCTTTCAGAGAGGCTCTCTTCCTTGGAAAGTGCAGGGGCCAAGTGGAAAGGGTTGCACAGGTCAAGTGGCAGCAGAGAGCCAGCTGTGTGTGTGTGTGTGTGTGTGTGTGTGTGTGTGTGTGTGTGTGTGTGTGTGTGTGTGTGTGTGTGTGTGTGTGTGTGTGTGTGTGTGTGTGTGTGTGTGTGTGTGTGTGTGTGTGTGTGTGTGTGTGTGTGTGTGTGTGTAGCACCAAATGGGTGACACCACCTACCAGGAGCCCCCCTCTCTCTTTCAGAGAGGCTCTCTTCCTTGGAAAGTGCAGGGCTAGGGGTGTAGGTGGGAGGTTTTAAGAAAGGCAGGTCTCTGCTATCTGAAAAATGCTCGTGAGCCCAGACAAGGAGTAGTGACTCTTTCTTTCCAAATGTAACTTCCAGTTCCTCTGCTGCAATTAGAGCTCTTGCAGATGGGGAATTTGAGGTTGCTGGTCTAGGGCACTTTCCTGTGGGTGGGGGGTGGTTTGGGGTGTTGGGACAGGAAGTTGTGGGGAAGCTTTTTCTTCATGTATGAGTATGTCTCCAAACACATCAGAGACAGCAGGAAAGCCAACAGCCTTTCCCCCTCCCTGGGGGCAGCTGCCTGGGTTTAGGGCTGACATGGTTTGAAGTTCTATATGAACAGAATCTATACACATCCCCTGGCCTACAAAAGGCCAGAAGCTGCAGGAATCTTTGGATCTCAGCCAGCAATGATCTGGCACTGCCTGGCACCATTGGCATTTCTCCTTAACACATGAAAGCCATGGAGGAGCTGAGGGGGGGGGGGAAGGAGTAAAAGCATCTGCCTCTGACCCCTACCCCAGTACCACCAAAACAAAGGCTAGAAATGATGCTTTTTTTCCCCTTAAAGAAACCCGGAACAATGTCAGCCGGGGAGAACCAGTCATCTGATGTGGCCGTCATTGGGAAAAGTTAATTGGCAGAAAAAAAGTAGTGATTATGCAAATCTCTCATTTATAGGACTCTAATGAAAAAGAAAATCTACTGGAGATATAGAAATGGAACTTTCTGGAAATAGATGTGGACAGGTTTATAACTGACCTCTGAGCTACTCCACAGGGGCTTACGAGAATGAGGGGTTTTAGGAGAAGGATTTCTTCAGCAAGTTTGTTTCTGCATCATGAATAAGCACTTACTGAG